CTCTAACTGGGTCTCCAGGCTTTTCCTTACATCCTTTGAAATTTGGGTGAGGTGCCTCCATAAGCTCTCGCATTCTGTCAGCCTGCAGACTTAACACCACGTGGATGCTGCCAAGTCTTCCAGCTTGTATCTTCCGAAGCTGCAGGTCTAGCAGCACCTGGGGCCAACCAAGTCAGCCGTGGCTGGAACTACCAGAGCAGCCAGGGTGCAGGGAGCAGCATTGCAAGGTGGCCCTGGGCAGTGAGCCTGTGGAGGGCACCTTGGGCCTGTTCTCAAAAACCATTCTGTCTCCCTAGGCCTCTGGGCCTATGATGGAAGGGGCAGACTCAAAGATCTCTGAAATGCCTTCAAGGTCTTTTTTCCATTCTCTTGATAATCCCTTCCTTCATTAGTAATCTTAGCAAACGGTCCCTGGGCTACACCCTAGGTTTCCTCTCTTCAACAGACTTTCTCACTTTATGTGGCCAGGCCGAGAGTTTTCTAATTTTTTATCCACTGCTTCTCTTTTAATTATAAATTCTGCCTTTACGTCATGCCTTCACTGTCATAACTCAGTGTAGGCTGTTACAAGTGTTGGTTGAAATTTCTTCTCCCAAATATCCTGTGTCAGCACCTTTAAGTTTCACATTCCATAAATCCCTTGGGTATCAACAGAATGCAGCCAAGTTCTTTGCAACTCTACAAGCGTTGTTTCTGCTGCAGTTTCCGGTGAGCTCTTTCTCATTTCTATCTGAGACCTACTCAGCATGGTCTTTTTTTTTTTTTTTTCCTTTTTGTCTTTTTTTATCGTGACCGGCAATGGATTGCAACCCTCAGTGTTGCGCCCGTACCGGACCGGGACCGGCCACGGGATCGCAACCCTCGGTGTTGCTCCCGCCCCTCACTCAGCCAGTGAGCGGCCGGTCTGTATGTGGGATCCGAACCCTCGGCGGGAGCACCACCACGCTTCCCAAGCAGCGCACTATAGCAGTGAGCCACCGGGCCAGCCCCTCAGCATGGTCTTTACAGTCCATGTTTCTATCAGAATTCTGGTCACCACCATTTAACTAGTCTCTAAAACATTCCAAACTTTCCCTGGTCTTCTTGTCTTCTAAGCCCTCATAAGAATCTGGCTTTTTCTAGCCTGCTCACCCAAATTCTTCCAGCCTCTGCCCATCACCCAGTTCCAAAGTCAACTCCACATTTTCAGTTATTCATTTTTAGCAACACCCCACTTCTTGCGCCAGTTTTCTATATTAATTTGTTTCTGTTGCTTCTGCCAGAATACCTGAAACTGGGTAATTCATAAAGAAATAGAATTGGAGAATGTAAAGTTGATGAGAGCAAAGACTTCATCTGTGTTTTCCTCAGTGCCTGGAACAGTGCCTGGCACAGTAGGTGCACAATACACATCTGGTGAAGGGAGGAAGGAAAAACAATAGAAAGAAAGAGAGAAAAACTGTGCTTTTGGTGCTTGTTGGGTCTGCAGCCTCTTTAACCACGGTAACTCTGCTTTTATTGAAAACCAGTGAGGTTTTGTTTCACAAAAGGTTTCCACTGCTTAAAACAAGAGAGAGCAAAGAAAACCACTCACTATTCTAGTGGAAGGAACTTAAAGGCCTGATACGCAAGGGCCTGGCCTTCTGGCCCAGCTTTTCACTGATGAGTCTTTGCCTTTGTTGAAGAACTTTATTTTCTGTGTCCTTAAAGTCATCTCTCCCACCCCTGAAGGATTTACTTTTTAAAAAAAAACGGAGGTAAAAATCAAATGACATAAAATTAACCATTTGAATGTGTACCATTCAGTGTCAAGTTGTCTTTTGTAAAGTGCGGACATTGTCCTCCCCACTCCCTGCCTCTGTCCCAAGGATATTGTACCTGATAAATGGGCACTTTGAACTTGTTAGGAGAAGAAAAAAAAATCTCTATTAAATAGCTTATGGTAGAGAATTATTTTGACATGTTCAGACTTGCTTTCTTTGTAGGTTACCAAAGTGTAGCCCAGAACCTGGGATGCTTCACCTATTTCCACCATCAAACAAGATTAGTTTGTTTTCACTGTCCTAAAGCCAGGTGTGGTAACTGCTGGCTTTTTATCCTTACAGACAAGAGGTAATTAAGAGTATAAGACATGGGATTACCTCCACTCTACCCAAAAAGCTAGGGAACCACTAAAATGTAAAGGATGTCAGTAGGGGGAAAGGGGCTCCTGGATACATCTCTCCACACCTGTTTTCCTCCATTGTTTGCTGTTTCTCTGATTGGTTCCAAGAAGGCATAGACTGGTTCACCTCAAATAGACAATATCAGGAGTTCCTATTAACTTTGTTTCTGCAAAGGTGCCTTCAGTTTCAAATTGAGAGATTGGCATGCTGGTGAATTAGGCAGGAAGGTGAGACTCTCCTAGCCCACACACATGTCTCAGGTGAGATTCTCTTTCTCCATCCCATCCCAACCATCTGTGCCATTGATCATGTTGGTGGGGCAGTCTTTTGAATTATAGCCCAATTCTCAAGTCCCCACTTGGCAAGTTTCCATCTCTGTTCTTGCTCCTGGCTTTTTAAAAATCATCTTTTTTTTTTTTTCTTTTTTCAGCTATCAAGGCCCTAGGTGACTAATTTAGTCTTCTTAAATTGAATTATGTCTAATTCTCAGTCCTTTATAAAACCTAGTTAATATTATTAAGCAATTTTGTTTGAAACACTCTCTATCCTTAGTAGATTGGGTACTGCCACAGTTACCTGACAAAACTGATAACATGGGTGTTGTTTCTAGTAATATTTCAAGCCCCATGAACATTCCATATCCAGAATAGATTATTGACAATGAGACTAGTGTGATTGCTTCGTGACATCATTTGTTTAGGTTGGGATGGCTATTTCTGCTGAAGTTCAGAAGCCGTTTTACTTATGAAGAGATTAGGTTCGAAAAGGTTGTTCTAAACTCAGTCCTTGATGAGTCCCAAGTAGACAGTGTGAGCACCCGATATATATACATCTTTTAGGTGAAAACCATAAACATCAATGACTTTGGATTTTGCCTCTTTATTCCTTCTTTTCAAACTCTGTATGATTTACTTTTTGTCCTTCAGAATTGTTCCTGCTATCATTCTACGTGATGCAGCATGTACCATATTTGTCATTTTCTTGACACTTGCATTTTTTAAATTGTCTTTATTTTCCTTCAATCCTAATTATACCTTGTTTTATAGTACTCTTAACACTGTCACTGTGTTTGTATTATCAGTCATAATGGTGTGATTAATATTTTAAAGCACCTTAAAACCAAGCATTTACACACTGTAAACTAAGGAACATTATGAAGCCCTACACTAAAATGACTGTTAGCACCATCTGCTGGAGGGAGCAGAACCGATGTACAGGTGCCTCTAGATACTTTATGTTAATAGGTCTAGCATATCATTTTGCACCTTTGCCTTTATCCTTTTCTCCATAAATCTCAGTGTGCCCCGGGTTGCACAAATAGCTTTAGAAGTAGAAATTTATATAGAGCTACAATGTATTCTTTATTATCTGGTATTTAGTCTGTGCGCATTTGTGTGGTATAAGAGACCCACATCATAATACATAATCTTGTCACCAATTCGTGGGAGAGTTTTGGGGAGGGGGAAGATGTGTAGGACTAGGAGCAGAGAGACAAGGTAACATGGAATATTTATTCCATGTGTCAAGGAGAAAGTTGGACATGACCTGAAGACGACACTCACAGGTTTCTGACTAGTGAGACAGAATGGATGCACTGTACCAACAACCCAAATCAAAGGACCAAGGGGGAGAAATCGGGTTAAAAGTGGATGGGAGGGAGGTGGCAGATTTATCGACATTGCAGTGGTGTGAGGAGTAAAGAGAAGGTGCGGAAATGAAGATAGCTAGTGTAGAAGTTTGAAAATAAAGAACAAGAGGAGGTGGGTGGTACAGGATTGAGGGAATTGAGGGAGGGGAGTGTGGGGATGGGACAGGCTGAGGGGAAGGAGCCAGTGTAGAGGGGCAGATTGAACACACAGGAGAGAGAGATGGGCTAAGATCTCAGAGGGGACAGTAGGGAATGGAACTGAGGACAGAATAGCTGTCCTTCCTCAGAGTCACCCAAAAAGAAAGAATAGTGCCAATGCCAAGTAACTTGAAAGGTGGAGCAATAGAAATTGTGGGCTTTACTCCTCATTGCCTCATGTTTTCAGTGAAAATGAAAGTCAAGATCATGCGTGGAGTGAGAGGGTGCTTTCTAGAGACATGTGCATGTACTTCATCAAAGCATTTCTTGTAAGTGTCCAAGCCTGATCATCAAGAGCTTTCTCCCTTGCCTTTTACCGGCAGCCCACTCCACCAGTTTATTAATTATTTTTGCATTATAATCTAGCTTCCCAACTATTGCTACCCACCCAGGAAAAAGAAAGAAAAAAAAAAAAAAGACAGGAAAGGTTGGGTTTTGAGTGTTTTGGAGAAGTTGTGGAAGAGAATGACAAAGATTAGTAAGGGAATGAATCAGCACTCAATGCTTGGCGTCCAATTGGGAAGCAGGAATTTGTAGTGGTTCCACACCCCTCTGTTTTGCACCTTTATCCAGATGTGCATGTACATGGGATTGAAGAGATGTGGGATTGATTGAAATCACTGCTAGCCAGTAAAACTTTCTGCGATGATGGAAATGTTCTGTATCTGTGCTGTCCAATATAGTAGCCACTAGCCACATGTGGCTATTGAGTACTTAAATGTGGCTACTTCACTTGAAATCAATTTTTAATTTAAATTTAAATAACCACAAATGGCCAGTGGCTGCCATATTGGGAAGCACAGACCTAGAGTTAGGGGTTTGTAGAGTTCACGTGGAGAAGACAACAATGGGAACAGCATTCCCATTAGCACCTTCACCTCGATTCCCGGTAGAGAAAGATGTTACACTATGAATGGGCTAATAAACAGGAGAAAATGAGGGGCAAGAATTTCCTATGTTACTCTTAAGTTAAAGAAAAAAAAAAATCATTGTCCAAATTTATTTTTAAGGAAAGAACGTCAGTATTCTACATGTAGTAGTGAAGATTCTCCTGGCTCTTGTGAAATCCTGTATTTCTGTGTGGGTAGTCCTGATCAGCTCATGGTGCACAAAGGGAAATGTATTGGTGAGTAAACTAGCAAAATTCATTTAAATTATTGCAGTGACAAAAGTTAATCATTAAGGAACGGAGTAGAATAGACACTGTGTCATCTAGACTGGCAGAGTCCAAGGAAGACAGTGAAGCCAGTAGTCATTCATTCTAGCTCCTGTTCCTAATGACTGGAATGAGAAGTCACTCAGGTTTCCCCTACGGTAAGGTAAGATGGAAAAAAGCTCCTGTGCTCTTGGAAATATTACTAGCATAAAGATAATTTAAAATTTGTCATCATCATAATTATCCAAGCTTTTTGAAACAAAAAATGGTTAGAATATTATCAATCAGTAGAATTTTATATCATGTGCATCTGATGCTGATAAAATATGTAACAAAATAGTTCCGACACCTGTGATCTTTATTGACCAGCTCTCATTTTCTTAAGTTGACATCCATCTGCTTGGCATTTTCCTGCTTGGTTTGTTATACCTGACCGGGAAAACCACTTTATTTTCTATATGTCTTGTTTAGCACTTTTATCTATCAATAGCTATTTGGAATGAAGCCGGTTCAGCAATTCAGGATTTGAGTTGCTTATATTAAAATCAAGCTTTCAGTATCTACTTCCTTTTCCCTAAACATACATCATCTTTACTCAGCCGTACAGATAAAACCACTAATTGGTGTAGGGATCACTTACACGTGGTGAATTTGACCATCAACTTTAATTTTCAGTCCCATTAATATTCTTGCCAGAGCTAACAGCCAAATTATCTAAATCGAATTTGCTTTCTTTGAGCATTTTACCCCCTTCCTCTTTAAGGAGATACAAATAAGTAGGAGAGTTGCCAGGGAGCAGGCAGCAGGTGAAGGGAAAAGAAACCAAATATCTGAATAGTGTGTGAACTGGACACTTAGCCTTGGCTGACTAAAAGCGGCCTGGACAGTGCAGGATTCTGCACATACACAGAGTTGCCATATTCAGACAAAACAACCATTTGAGCAGGTTCAAAACCTTGGTAGAGAGGGTTGGCTATGGACCTGAGACTGCTTGACTCAGAGGAATTTCAGGTTCATGAACGGACAACATAAAACTCACTACTGGATAAATCACTAACCTGGAGAAATCAGGAAGGCAAATTAATCCAACTGCTGTTACCTTACCTGGGTCTCTTATTCTCACTGGTCCTCATTAGACAAATTCATTTTAGGTAATATCCTCATTACAAGCACATTTGCTATTGGAGAATTTTCAATAAAACCACGAAGTAAATTATTTACTATGTTATGTCACAATGGGTCTGGTTTTTAAAATATGTCCTAAGTTTCTGTGAAGTGTTTTTATAAAAGATAACTGAATAACGTTTGGTTTTTAATTAACTATTTTTATTAAAAAAAACTAAATAATATTTGTTTTTCAGTTTAAAGTTGTTGGTACTAGAGAGAATAGAGAACTTATGGATTTGGATAAAGCACTACAGAGACCGTATAAATGATCACTGTTAGCATATAATAGAGTTTCAGTCAGAGTTCTTTTGGTAACACATTTTCCTTTAGCCTCATTGAAGTGTCTTCTTTCATCCCTTTTATTATCCCTGTCATGAAAAAGTGACAAGAGGGTGGCAATAATAAAATTATAATTTTTTTTAAAAACCAGCAATTATGAAATGCCTACCTAGTCCCAATTGGGGAGATAAATATTGCATGATAGTGCACTGTATAATACACAAATTTAATTAGGCTTTATGTAAATAACATCACACTTCATCCCATAAACATTTAATGTCATATATCTCCAACGGACTGCTTAAATCCCACATTTCTCAAATTGCTTCCTTTGGTTGACAAATTTACAAACACCAGTGTCTTTCCTCTTAGACTAAGACCATCAGGAATTATTTATGACTAGCATAATAGATCGTTTTAATTAAAATCTCTGGCTTACAAGCATTTCTGTTAAGTTAAAACTGCTTCTCAGATAAAAAGTCTGTGTGAGCTAGTTCAGCCATATTTCTCCGAAGTCTTTTTGCTAAGACCACTTTATCTTATTTTGTCACTTCTCATTTTTCAAATGGAAAAAATAATTATAAATGTCTCTTAGAAAAAAAATTTTTATTATGAAGACAATCTAGCATCATGGAAAACTACTATTCATATACTAAGAGAAAAAGGCAGAATACTGCATATTGATGTTTCTCAACTGGGGGTGATTTTGTAGCCCAGAGGACATTTGGTGATATCTGTAGATATTTTTTGGTGGTTAAGACTGAGGTGGGGATGCTACTGGAATCTAGTGAGTAGAGACAGGGATGCTGCTAAACATCTTACAGTGCACAGGACAGCCCTCTACAACACAGGATTATCTGGTCCAAAATGTCAGTAGTGCAAAAGGTGCTATATAGGCTATGATTTGGTAAATTGAAAAAAGGGTGGGCATAGAAGGAACTAAAAGAAAAATAAAACAAAATATTGGTATTTTTCTCCGTTTGCAATATTTTGGTAATTTTCTATTATAGTCTTTAATGAAAATTGGTTATGAAAGTAACACTGTGACTGACGGCTAGTAGAATAAAGCATTGGTTTCTTTATTTGGTCTGATACTAAGATCTCATTGTTGATTCTTTTCCCTTTATAAAAATTAATAATTTAGGACTCAGGGTATATTGTTAAATACTAAAAATTGTTTATAAAAGAGCATGTATTACATGGAATCATATTTTTCATAATTAGCACATGATATCCTTTGTAGAACAAATGGATGTGTATCCCCATCCCTTTTTTCCCCCCACAGAGAACATACGAGAAAGATTTAATCACATATTTTCTGTCTAATGTGCAGGCAGTGATGAACAGCTTGGAAAACTAGTTTACAATGCTTTGGAAACAGCCACTGGCAGCTTTGTCTTATTGTATGAGTGGGTCCTTCAGTGGCAGAAAAAAATGGGTCCATTCCTTACCAGTCAAGAAAGAGAGAAGATTGATAAGTGCAAAAAGCAGGTAGGCATCCAGATGGTTGACTGAGCAAAAAGCCTAATCTCAAGCTTTAGAGATGACATAGGTGATCCACAGTTGGTGTGACAACTGTTTAACCAGAAGAGACTGTGGGGGACCAACCCCTCTTTGCCACAGTTTTCTCAGCCCCTTGCTTCCTCTTTCAGGACTTTCACAGCATGGACACAGCTTCTGCAGCTGCCTTCAGAACCTCGTTTCTCAGCCCTTGCTATGGCATTAACAGCCATCTCTCTAACTGGGACTAAATACTATTCCATAATTGTGCTTGTGCAATTATTCATATTTTTCCTACTCATGAAATATTGCTTCAAAACTGAATTTTGGGGGACTGGAGAATTTTTAAGTTAATTTATAATACTGAGCTTAAGGAGAACACTTAATATTGCATATTGCAGTGTTACATGATTAAAGAGGTTACAAAATAGTAGGTAAAGCATGGTGATTAGTAATGTTTGTGTATTTATGTATAGAAAGAAAAACTGGGAGTAAATATACCAAAATCATATTATCTTTGAGTGGTGACCATATACATAATTTGTGGGTTTTTTCCTTTGTATTAATTTTTTAAATTTTGACATTGATCTTTGTTATAATCAGAAATGTTATTTTAAAGTTAATGTTTCTTTTCTTTTTTTTTTTTTTTTTGCTGGCCGAAGCACAAAAAAAATTGATTTGAAAAGCTGTTCACTAATTTTGTAGTATTTGTACACTAGGTTTTGAGATTAAAGAAATTGAGAATTAACTAAACTTTTTCCATCTTTATGAACTGTTAGGTTGACCACATACATGGTTTGGGGAGGGTTCAGTTCAGGGCATATTCATTTTCTTCTCATTTGAAGGCATATGATAATTTCTATGAAATATATCACTTTAGAAGTCAAGCACCAGTTAATGCTGATTGACCCAATATTATCTTTTTTTTTTTTCCCCTATCAGATTCAAGGGACAGAAACAGAATTCAACTCACTGGTGAAATTAAGCCATCCAAATGTAGTACGTTACTTAGCAATGAGTCTCAGAGAGCGAGACAACTCCATTGTGGTGGACATTTTAGCAGAGCACATCAGTGGGGTCTCTCTGGCTGCACACCTGAGCCACTCAGGCCCCATCCCCGTGCATCAGCTTCGCAAGTATGCAGCTCAGCTCCTGTCGGGCCTTGATTATCTGCACAGCAATTCTGTGGTGCACAAAGTCCTGAGTGCATCGAATGTCTTGGTGGATGCAGAGGGCACCGTCAAGATTACAGACTACAGTATTTCTAAGCGCCTAGCAGACATTTGCAAAGAGGATGTGTTTGAGCAAACTCGAGTTCGTTTTAGTGACAACGCTCTGCCTTATAAAACAGGGAAGAAAGGGGATGTTTGGCGTCTTGGCCTTCTGCTGCTCTCCCTCAGCCAAGGACAAGAGTATGGAGAGTACCCTGTGACCATCCCTGGTGACTTGCCAGCTGACTTTCAAGATTTCCTAAAGAAGTGAGTATCACTGAGATTCTCTCCAATTGCACTTTACTCCTGTGCTTTGTGCTTGAGTGTGCCACACATCTATGTGACATGGAAGCTGAAAAGTGAGGAACAGTACTAGGGTTAATTCTTTGCTCTCTCAATCCTTTCCCAGCCTCCTGTGTTCTATTTCCTCACTTACATTCATTTCCTTAATTCCCACATTCTTTGAAATTCACTTGGACTTAATAATTTCACGATTTTCAAACTACTTTTAGGGGGACTGCCTGGTATACCCTAGGAAGTCTATAGGGGTTGCTCCAGTGAGAAATGCCCTGGGTATTCCAAATAGAAGACCCTCTCTGTCCACCAATGCTCCTGGTTCCTAAGGGTTCAAAGACAAGGCTTCCTGTTTATAAAATAGCTACAGGAGTGTGGTTCTGCCCCTTGTGCCCCATTCTTCTTCATTAGCTGTCTCATTCAGCCAAGTCATAGGATGCAGGTGACTTTCTTACTCTAACCAGAGAATTTTCTTGGTTTTTGTTTATTTGTTTTAATTTTTATTGAATTGTAATTGATTATACATATTTTGGGGGTTCAGCATTGACATATGTTGATAAATCAATATTACTAGCATATGTATTGTTACAAATTGTACTTATTCTTTATGCCCCTTGTCCAATCTCTCCCTACCCCCCTGTTTCTCCCCCCTCCCACCACTGATAACCCTAGATTTCTTCTCTCCTGAAAGAGTAATGGTTACTCTGTTGATTTGTTGCCTAGATGATCTGTCTAAGGCTGAGAGGTGTGTTCAGGTCCCCCAATATTATCATAGAGCAGATGCTGCTTCTGTCACTCTGGAATGGGCTTTGTGGAGAAAAACATCCTCTTCTTTTCTTTGGTCTCTGCTGGTGATTCTCCACGGTCAATGCACTCCATTGGCTGGTGGACCACCTGCGTGGTGGTCGTGGCATCTAGCCACTTTCGTGGCAGCCATGGTTACTGTGATGGCTGTGGTGGGCCACCCACATGGAGGTGATGTTTTGGGCATGCTCCTAGCCAGAGGATTTCAACGCCTATAAATTACAGGTGTATGTTTAATTACAAGAGCCATGTTTTATCCAATTTGAGAGAATCCTTACTGAGAAGCTTTCCTTAGACCTAAAATCTTTGTCCAAGTCCTTCAATTCAGTGTTTACTTGTTTAGCCCTGCCTCTGTTCTCAGTCCAAACCAGAGTTAAGTTCTCTCAGTTTCTGTTAAATGGGGAATAAGATCCCTTCAGTCTGGGTTTTTCCAGAGACTCCCCTGGTCCAGCTTTCCCGCAGAGGGTGACCTGGACTGATTTCTTCCTTTTCCGACAATATCTTGTGTCTCACCTTCTCGCTCCCTGTCATTCACTGTATCCACTGTATTCACTCTCTGCATTTCTTTTACCCTTCACGTTTCATTTCCTGTTCCCATCTATCCCACTTGCCAATTGACCTAATCTGTATTGTTATTTCCTGTCACTCACCATCTCACCAATTACAAATGTGAAAATAGCTGCACTTGTATTTAAATGAGATAGTTTCTGCTGTACCATAAAATCGAAGTAGATGTTAATCGCATACAGTTGTGGTAAGGGACCAACTTTGATTCTTTATGCTGTATTCTCTTTTTGAAGTATATAAAAAAACTCAAGATCTCTAAAGAAGTCTTTCATGATTTCTTTGAAATGCAGTAGAACTTTAAAAGTACTTATTTAAACGCACCCTAACAATGAAGTTTGCTGAAGTGACAATACAGTGATTGAAACACTGTTGGGAAGACTCATTTCAGTCTTCAATATGTCACCTTTAGCTTTCTGCCCTTCCTCATTGGTCAAGACTAATTTAGTAGGGTTAGCAATAACATTATATATTTTTGAAAACAGCACTGGGAGGTTTAAGAACATACCTTTCACATTTAGTAGCAAAATAAATGATGGGTTTTGCTAAAACTTTCCTCGTTTTCTTCTTACAGAAAATAGCTCTATGCTCTGCCACTTTTGAACTTGAGATCAGCACTATTTCTTAGTCTTTATCAAGATTGTCCTTTAGAATATTTTGTATCTTCCTCTGTCTTCAAAGAGTGGTTTGATAGACTGCTTAGTTGAGAAGGAACTGCAGAGGATTGTTTTACTACCTCAGCTGTCCAGCCCCAGTTAACAAAAGAAAAAAAATATTCACAAAGAACAAAAGCAGAGCAACATTTCATTTGTAGTTAGACTTTTATTTGTTGGTGAACATCCTTTGGAGAAAGGCTTCGTTTCACACTGTGGTGGGTAAGAGCCCAGACTATTGAGTCAGCCAGGGTTCAGATCCCACCTGTAACCTTCACTGGCTGAGTGACGTAAACTCCCTGACCTGAGTTTCCTCCTCTGGAAAGTAAGGATGATAGCACCACCTAACTCCTGAGGTGCTCATGAGGATGACAGGAGTTAACCTCTGTGAAGTGCTTTGAGTGGTGCCTGGCACACGGCCTGTGCTAAGTCAGTGCTAGGTCTCATCACCATCCTCAGAGAGAACTATGAAGAGATGTGGAAGCTTCCAGGCGTTTCATCTCTTGGTTCAAAGCTGGACCTAGCATTTGCCTTTGCTACTTACAGCTACTACATTGCCAAAATTACTGGTTCAGAGAATTTTATCTTTTTAAGTGAGATCTTGGTGGCTAGAAAATCTCTTAAAGTACAATTGATTCTAGGTAGGCTTTAAAATTTTTCTGATCCAGGGCCGGCCCGGTGGTACACTGCTACAGTGCGCCGCTTGGGAGCGCGGCGGCGCTCCCGCCGAGGGTTCAGATCCCACATACAGACCGGCCGCTCACTGGCTGAGCGAGGTGCGGGCGCAACACCGAGGGTTGCGATCCCGTTGCCGGTCCCGGTCCGGTACGGGTGCGACACTGAGGGTTGCGATCCGTTGTCGGTCACGAAAAAAAGACAAAAAGGAAAAAAAAAAATTTTTTTTCTGATCCAGATTTACTGTCACGTCAGTCACATTAATGTCACAGTTAGAGTTGATAATATACTTCAGAAACCCAACAGGGCATGTAAAGGGATGTTCATTGCAGCATTTTTTTGTACAAGTGAAAAATTGGAAATAATTCCAACAATAGGAGAATGTGTAAATAAATTCTGGTTGGTCCTTGCCTATACAGAAGTTTAAAAAAGTTTTTTAAGTACTTGCTTAGAAAGATCTCTAAGTCACATGGTTGAATGGAAAAAGCAAGTTGAAGAATACTGTATACAGGATGATTTCATTAAAAATACAATCAATATCCAACCATAATAAAAAAAAAATCAACGTCCAAATAACAGTACTATTTTGTTTGGATGGTTTTGTGTTTATATATGTAAACGCATAGAAAAAGGTCTGTAATGATATATCCCACACATGGAAGGAATTGGAGAGAGAGTGGGGATTTGGTCAGAGACTTTATCATTATCAGTAATGTTTTAATATTTACAAGGAGAAGGTATTTATGTTTTACTGACATAACTAAAAATTAATTTTAAGTTTAGGGGGAAATACAGTATCTTATACAAATGGTTTTATTGGAATCTTCTTTCCTTTTCAAGAAATTAGGAGTGCTTTGCTTTTTAGTGCTGTTACATAAAAAATAAATAAAACAAAATGTTGCCCTTCACGATAGTTGCCATCACCACTTTATACTTACAGATTTTTTAGTCAAGAACTCACAATGAAGGTCAATTCTTTTAAGTATGTTGTTTATAGTTAGGGTCAAGTGCTACCAAGTGATGCTACTTGGGTCGTTGTTATGAAAGCCAAACAGCTTAGATTAGTTAGAACAGTGGTTCTTAGACTTTAGCTTGCATTGAAATCACCTGGAGGGCTGGTTAAAGCACAGATTACTGTCCAGACCCCCTAAGCTGCCAAATTTGTATTTCTAACAAATTCCTAGGTGATACTAATGCTACTGGTCAGGGACCCACTTTGAGAACCCTTGGGTTAAAGGAAGGGCTTGTTTTTACTCATTTTTAAAAAATTGTTTATTAGAAAATTAAACAGTAAGCTAATAGGAATTCAAGGAATGAGGATTAAAAGAAAGTATGTGGTAAAATATAGGACTTTTAAAAAGTATTCCTTAATTGTTTTTAAATTACTTCATACTTTGATGAACCAGCTTCATCTAAAATTTATCATGGGAATATTGGACCTAACCCTACACCAGCTATCTGATTTGCTTTGCCTTGCCTTTGCACAGCTTTATTTATGACTGGTCCGCAGAAAGCCTCAATTTAGTGTTAAACTGTTAGGGAGTGAAAATTCCTAGCCTACTTTTAAAAACTTGTTGCATGACTGTAAGCCTTCCTGCCTCTAGAGACTGTACATTTTCTTCATTCCCCGCTTACACCCAGCCTGGTGCTCCGCAGGTAAATCCTGCAGGAATGTTTATTAATTTAAACTCACTCTTGAGTGCATGTTAGTCCATAAGTAACATAAAATCCCTAATATGTTTCTTTAAAAAATAAACTCACAGTTAAATGCCTTGGATTACCCAGTTTAGCATTTAATTTGTGTGCTGCTGAGATTCTTCCTTCCCTCTCACTAAGGTGCGTTTGCTTGGATGACAAGGAAAGATGGAGTCCTCAGCAGTTGTTGAAACACAACTTTATAAATCCTCAGCCAAAAATGCCATTAGTGGAACAAAGTCCTGATGGTGAGTCTGTTACTGCTGTTTTTTGATATGCTGTTTCACATTAAATTATTTTGAAAGTATACATAAACCTGAAACTGAAAGGGGCTGCATGGATTATTTCTTTTATCTATTTTATGCTGAGCTACATGTAAATCCATTCATTTGAGGTGTATTGTGTGCAGGGGACTGTTTTGCCAGCCCAATTTTTCCAGTCTCTACTGATGGAGTGTCCTTTGGTATCACCTCTTTTAGTGTTTAGTCCCTCTTCTTGTCATTTCACCCTTATTTCCATGTAACTAGATTTTCCTGCTGCTACTTAAGTAGCAGATTAAGAAACCTCAGTAGAGATTGGGATGGATCAGGAGCCCCGGGTTTGGATTCTGGCTCTATAGTTCAGTCACTTACTCTCTGTCTCAATTACCCCCACGTGTGAACTTGGACTAATTATGTATTTCTACCTACTTTAAGGAGGGCAGGGTAAAGAAAAGTGTTAACAGGTTGCCTGGGTAAGAGGTACTTTTTCAAACTACTAATTGGGGCCCCTTCCTCCAGTGCTTGTATTATTGTTGGATATTGTAGTTCTTCCTATATTTTTAAGGCCTTATTCTCCTCTTATTCTTTGTTTTATCCCAGATTCTGGAGGACAAGATTATGTGGAGACTGTTATTCCTAGCAGCCAGCTACCCAGTGCTGCATTCTTCAGTGAGACACAGAGACAGTTTTCCCGATATTTCATTGAGTTTGAAGAATTACAGCTTCTTGGCAAAGGAGCTTTCGGAGCTGTCATCAAGGTGTGATAATAGAGTTGTCCCCATTTTCTTTTAGAGCTCCTCTGTTCCATTTTCACAAAGACTTATGGACTTGACTTCTGTTTTGGGGGTGGGGACGGAAGTGAATATGACTGTTTGAAATTGTCATCATCTTTGCCTTCTTGGAGTTAAAGGCTTTATTTAAAGTTACACTGGACACATTAAGAACACCCCATTCTTCTTTTCTCACATGGTGTAGAGCATTAATGTGAAAAATGCATGATTATAACAGCACTTCAAGTGGAGTCAGGACCTCTATGGAAAAAATTTTTGTGTGCTTTGGTTCAAAAAGAAAAGTGTTCTTTTTCTCCCATTTGCTGTTAAAGTTGCAGTAGAGAAAAGGGTTCCAAGGTTAGAACAGAGATGTAATTCAAACTGGGAAATGACCCCAGATGGTCCTGATGGCTTTTATTTTCCAGCTGTTATTGAGGTGGAAAAGTAGTGATGCCTTATTAAGGTGTGCATTGTTAGATCATCCTCTCTTCATTCTCATCTAATTTGAGTGACTTTTCTTATTATATGCCCCTTGTAAAGAGAGATTTCAGCTGTTTTTATATAATTTATGGGTTTTTTTTTTCTTTTTAGTTTAAAAGACCCAGATTAACATTTTAAGTCCACATAAGGTACATGTCATCTTTCACATATGAAGGTGACCCTCCATCAATGGGGCGTGTGTCTGTTTAGGATTCTGAGCGTATTATTACGAAGCATCACTATTATTGTGGAAGGCTTTTTACACTGAAAAAAGAATTAAATTAGTTTTCCTGCAGTAAAAAAAGACTATCTTCAACAAGACAGGCATCCTGATCAGAAAGATCATAATTGTCTTTAAGAGTGGATGATTGAAGCATATACTATCCCTTTAACTCACAATGTCATTTTGATCAAGTCCTTTAACTTATTTACATTTTAGATTCTTGAAGATAAAATAGTAACAATCTTCATTTCCTTATAAGTACTTAAAAATGATTAGTCAGCTCATATAACAAAAGCATCTTAGTAATTTTAGCCCTTAAGTTTTTCCTGTGGTTTCTCCCTATGACAATCCGACAGCCCTCACATGCCAACTCTGTATTTCCAGGTTAGAGTAGGGCAGGGTAGGGCAGTCTGCTCAGTGATCATTAGTAGTTGGGCCCATTATTGTTTATGCACCTTTTGTTTTAATAAATGAATTCCTAGGAGTTTCCAGTGTAGCAAGCTCCACACTCCAGTCATTGACTCAGTTTGTATGATGTGTACTTAGACATGCTGAGACTTCCCACTGTCCCCTTCTCTATTAATGTGGCAATAAAGGAATACAGGACTGTCATTTTTTGGAGCACATTCCATATTTCAGGTTGTGTGCCAGGTGGCTTCCAAACCTTGTCTTTCATTTTAAGGACATTCTTATGAAGTAAGTATAATACCCATTTTCCAGATAAGGGAACTGAGGCTCAGAGAAGTTAGGTTCTTTGCCTCAGGTTCCACGTATCTACTAGGAGATGGAACCAGCATTCAGACCCATATCTGTTTTACTTCAAAACATGTGTTCTTGTCACTATTTTGACATCAAAAAAGGTCATCTGAAACTCAGATTAGTGCTCCTTTCTTATTCCTAGGAGTTTTTAATAGTCTAATTGAAACCTGTGAGCCAAGCAGAATGATGCTCTGTTTTGTCTTTTGTAATTAATTTCTCCTTCTGCTCATGGCCAAGTTGTTGCTTTTCTAGAATGTATCATCACCTCAGCTGACCTACATGTTGGGACTAGAATATTCTAGTGAAAGAAACTATAAAAGTTACTTCAGTCAATCCAATTACATAGTGAATGAAACTGCCTGGGATAAGGATGCCTGTATGTAGGATATGGGAACAAGCCTTTGAAACTTTTTCTTGTATTTTTATTATTTTATCGTGTTCTTAATTGTATTGTGCTAGTTTCAGTACACATCATCAGTCATAAATATTAGTTATGTAACAAAAATCAGTGAGCGGTAATTGTGTTAACAGCAATTGCTATTATTTACTAAGCACCTTTCTCTGTGAGGCCTCGGAACAAGTGCTTTACTCATGTTATCTCATGTGATCCTTACAGTCACCATTTGGGGTAATGAAAATGATATAAATGCCACTTTATAGATAAGAAATTGAGACTCAAGGAAATTAAGCAATTTTCCCACATTCACACAGCTTTATAAATCAAGGAATTAGCATTTTTATTCAGGCCTGTTAAAAATTTCAGAGTTTAGTTTGACTTTAGTTGACTTCATGTGTTTAAAAAAAAAAAAAAGCCAGAAAAACTAAAATCATAATGTGAAACCTTACACTGACTTTAGAAAATAATTTTTATTTTAAAACTAACGTCTATTTAGAAGTTTCAATAGATACGATATTGGAAAAGCAGAGAAGTAATTATCAATAAAATTAATGATTAAAATAGAGATTGTTTTCTGCAGGATAACCCAGCAAGCTAAATACATCTAGATTGGGATAAGCTGTTTATGTTGGCATAAGCTGTTTAAGTTTTCGGCAGTCAAGGCTTTCTTCAGTTTAGTTTCAGACGTGGTTCTCGATTGTAGCTGTTGGCTGTCATTTAGAGTTGCAGGTTATCTTTGGTGGGGGCTGAGGTGGGGCAGTGTAAATGGCAATTTATGCAAGGTTCTGAGCTGCTGACCGTACAGGGACCCTTCCCCTTGCTGCGTGGCAGGTGCAGAACAAGCTGGACGGCTGCTGCTACGCTGTGAAGCGCATCCCCATCAACCCGGCCAGCAGGCACTTCCGCAGGATCAAGGGCGAGGTGACACTGCTGTCACGCCTGCACCATGAGAACATCGTGCGCTACTACAACGCCTGGATCGAGCGGCACGGGCAGCCGGTGGGCGACACTGGCGACGCTGATGGCTCCGACAGTGTGGAGGCCGCTGCGCCACCGCCCATCCTCAGCAGCTCGGTGGAGTGGAGCACGTCGGGCGAGCGCTCGGCCAGCGCCCGATTCCCTGCCACCAGCCCAGGCTCCAGCAGCGACGAGGACGAGGACGAGCACGACGGGGTCTTCTCGCAGTCCTTCCTGTAAGGGCACACAGCGCTTACAGCGCCAGGCGTGGGTGCGGGCCGGGCGCCGTGGATGCGTCCCAGTCTCATCCCCATTAAGCCCCTGCCAGGATTCGTTTAGAAATCCAGGCGTGCTGACCCTGTAAAAAACAAAACAAAAGAAAAAACATGAGATCCCCTTTTAGAGACTAACCAAATGCAATCCAAAGGATTTTTTTCCCTACTGTCCAAAATCCAAGGCCCGGAGAAAGGAAAAATAGAAATTATTTCTGTTACCTTATCTTAATGCATTTAGCAGAATTTCTTACAGAGCATTTCTCTGGATAAGGGCTTCCAACTCTGTGGAACTTTAAAGAACTAAATTGGATTCTTGATATATTGCCAACTGCAGTTCCAAGAAAGGTACCAAACCAATAATTATGATCCTAAATTAAAGTTATGAATCTCAGAATCTACACTGGTCATTTACTTTCATGATTTTATTGTATTGTTGTATCCAGTTGGATACAATTTTTCATAACTCGTAGCCATTAAATTTTTAAAGGAAATTTAATTTGACTAATTTTATTTAACTCCAGAGTTCTATGTTTTGTATAATAGCAAAGTACAAATCAGTATGTGTTGTGTACAGATTTATGCCTGTGGTGTCATGATACAGTGTCTTAATCTTCTTTTGCTTTCAAGTAATTGAGTGTCAATTATTAGAATTATAACAGGGATTTTACTTTTCTTAGTATTTTTCTTTTTCTCTTTTTAAGACCTGCTTCAGATTCAGAAAGTGATATCATCTTTGACAATGAAGATGAAAACAGTAAAAGTCAGAATCAGGTAAATACATAAACAAATTACACCATTTTATGGTATATGCAGACACTAATGTGGATGTGTATGGAAACTAAAATCTTATGTTATAAACCAGGTAAAATATTAAAGCCTTAATCTGATATGCAGATATAGAAACCACTAATTTTAATACATGATCATTCATTTAAAATACATGTTGCTTGTGTTCATTTTTAGGCTTTTATTTATCCACATAATGAAGTATACCTACTTTTAGGAGAGAGAAGTAAATTGAGACACTGTATTTTTTGTGTGTGATAAAAACAGTTTCCTGGAGGATTTGGGGAAACTTTATATGGTTGTGGATGAGGATTGAATGCAAATTAATTGAGTAACTAAACCGCCTAGTCATAGAGTTACCTTGGTCTCTCTCACATCAGTTAATTTTGATTCCTTATTTTCATAGACCATTCTCTAGAATAGTGTTTTTTTTTTTTTTTTTTCCTTTTTGTCTTTTTTCGTGTCCGGCAACGGGATCGCAACCCTCTGTGCCGCGCCCCGCACCTCGCTCAGCCAGTGAGCGGGAACCGGTCTGTATGTGGGATCCGAACCCTCGGCAGGAGCGCCGCCGCGCTCCCAAGCGGCGCACTGTAGCAGTGCGCCACCGGGCCGGCCCTAGAATAGTGTTTTAACACTGTGTGTCATGATCCTGTAATGAGTTATGAAATCAATTTAGAGGGTCACAACAAGCTCTATTTTATTTGTAATGCTGTAGAGAGGAATAGAGAATACCAAAATGCATCACACTTACAGTAAAGGTAAACTTCGTTTATGAAACTTACCTCTCATGAGTATGTGTACTGGATATGATATAAAATATATTTCTTCATGTGGGTCACAGTCAAAAAAGTTTGAAAAACACTGCTCCATGCCTCAGATTCCATTCAATTCTGGGCCAGCCCGTGGCTCACTTGGGAGAGTGCGGTGCTGATAACACCAAGGCCACGGGGTCGAATCCTGTATAGGGATGGCTGGTTAGCTCACTAGCTGAGCGTGGTGCTGTAAACACCGAGCCAAGGGTTAAGATTCCCTTACCAGTCATCTTTAAAAAAAAAAAAAAAAAGATTCCATTCAATTCTGCCTCTTCCTCCTCCAAAGCCAGCGGAGCCCCTCCATGCTGGTGCCTGGAGCTCAGGGTGAAGCTTTTCAACTGCTGGGGCTGTCCGTTGTTGCTGCAGAGGAATATTCTGCAACTGGGGGTTGAATATGGTGACTTTATTACCCAGAATAAACATACCGTTACCAGCAGTTATAAGGATACATTCATAGTAGATTTTTTTTAAATGTACATGTAGATTCTGTTAGATAAGCAGTTAAATTGATTTGAAAGAGGTTTGAATGCCTTACTGTTTTTTATAAGTAGAACCCTTATTAATTAAAATCACCTTAAATTCTTCTAGGTTTAAATTATTAATTATAAATTTTACCAGGAATAGTAGCATAGTTAATCTCAACTACTGCTAAAGCAAAAGTTATGTTTGGTTTCAGCATTTGTTATGCATTTAATTATTATGGGGGCACCAAATTTACAGTCCTGATTTTGCTTAGTTAAGGAGAGCATTCCATGAGCGTTCTAATTGATGGAGAGAAGCCTCCAAGAGATTAACGATCTTCTACAGATAATCCCCAGAGTATATAAATGATTCAAGAGTAGAACCTGATTATTTCCATAGCAGACCTTTTTTTTTTTTTTTTTTTTAAAGATGACCGGTAAGGGGATCTTAACCCCTGACTTGGTGTTGTCAGCACCACGCTCTCCCAAGTGAGCCAACCGGCCATCCCTATACGGGATCCGAACCCGTGGCCTTGGTGCTATCAGAACCACACTCACCTGAGTGAGCCACGGGCCGGCCCAGCAGAGCTTTTTTTTTTTTGCCTTTTTTTGCCTTTTTTTCCATGTATGTGGGGGATGGGCACAGATATTTAATGATGGTGATGATTTGTTTAATTTCAGCCCCCATTTTGAGTTCTCATGTGTTCCTCTTGGGTTAGGATGAAGACTGCAGCGGAAAGAACGGTTGCCATGAAAGGGAGCCATTGGTGATGACTGAGGCTGTGCACTACCTGTATATCCAGGTGAGGCCCTGGTGTGCAGCTTGGTGACCCAGCAGCTCCCTGTAGTTTCTGGTGCACATATTTCAGGATGCTGGAACAAGACAGTGGACAACAGAGGCCTCACAGGCACTACCAAAGATGAACTGGCCAGAGAGGAACACAGCATAAAGGCCCTTTCCTCCATCCTTGAATTCGTGCTTTCCTGTATCATATCAGGAGGTACCATAGAGTGGCTCTGGACTCAGGCTGTGTAAGTTCACATCCTGTGTTCACCTGTCACAACTGTGTGAGCTTGGGCAAGTTCTTTAGCATCTGCACCTCAGTTTCCCTACCTGTAAATTAAATAATAGTAATTATCTCATAAACTTGTAAAGAATAAATGAGATAATATGTGTGAAGTGCTTTGCACCATATCTGAGATCCATAAATGCTAGACTGTGCCTGTGCAGAAACTCCACTTTGTCTAACAAGCTGAATCTGGACAAGTAACATATGACACACGTATGCCTATGCATGCAAACAAAACAGGCTTTAGGCAAAGTGGCTTGTCCAGGAACCCCTGGGAGACAAGAGCCACAGGCAAACCGATTCCAATGAGCCATTACTGAAAAGAAGCCTAGGCTCTGACCTACCTATACGGCAGCATCTAAACAGTAGTAAGCTCTGCCAGCACAGGGATGGCCATCAACCAGTGGTCTTTCCTGTGCCCCAAGTGACCAGGAAAGCAATCACCTAATTAATCTCTTTTGAAACAGTATAACTTGTCTGAGAGTTCCTTTTTCTACATAGTATCGTATCTCACATTTAAAGATCTGCCTACTTGCAGTTATGACTTAAAATACTATTAGTGACCCACAGTCCTGCCCTGACTAAGACCTTGAGGGAGAGTCAGAACGAAGCTGATCTTCCTTTCTTTAAAAACAATAAAATCCTTTGTGAGAAATCCCAATTCTGGGGCCGGCCCGTGGCTCACTCGGGAGAGTGAGTGCGGTGCTGATAACACCAAGGCCCCGAGTTCGGATCCCATATAGGGATGGCCGGTTGGCTCATTGGGTGAGCGTGGTGCTGACAACACCAAGTCAAGGGTTAAGATCCCCTTACCGGTCATCTTTAAAAAAAAAAAAAAGAAAAGAAATCCCAATTCTGGCACTGGTTGAATAGGCTAGTTTCATAAATCAAATGCTATGTATTGATTTAAGATTTAAATGATGCTGCATTATTTTCTGATACATTTATATACTTAGCAAGGACTGAGACAGAGCACCTTCTTGAATGTTTTAATATTTACAATGTTTTGCTCTAGACCTGAAAGTCTTTTGTCTTTAATGTACAAATAAGAAAGGCTAATGACATCATTAGATTAATTTGCCCTTGGAAATTTAGGTTTAGGTGAAATCCTGTAAAACAATAAATAAAATTTTACTGCAATCTCTGTTTTTTCATATTATTTGTGACAAGAATTTTAAACAAGTAAGTCTTATTTTTTTAATGAGCAATAATATAAAAAATAAAAATGGTTATGTTAGGGTGCTAAGATTATTCATATTCAGCTCCAGTCGTTTTTCGTTTTGTTTTGGGGTTTTTTTGGTGGCTGACCAGTACAGGGCTCAAACCCCAGACCTTGGTGTTATCAGTACCACACTTTAACCAGCTGAGCTAAACGGCCAGCCCTTATTTTGTTCTCTCTCTTTTTTTTTCATTTATTTTATTTATTTACTTATTTATTTTTTGGTGGCTGGCTGGTATGGGGATCTGAACCCTTGACCTTGGTGTTATAACACTGTGCTCCCAATGTATTTTTTAATGCTATTGGTTATTAACGTTATTAACATTATCATTAACAAATGTATTAGTCTGTTTTCTGCCACTTAGAATACCTAAAACTGGGTAATGTATAAACAAGTCAAATATACATCTTGCAGTTTTGGAGGCTGGGAAGTCCAAGGTCCAGAGGACCCATAAAGAAGAAGGTGGGGGCCTTCTTCTTTATGAGGACCCTCAGCAAAGTCCTGAAGTGATGCAGAGTATCACATAGTGAGAGCTGAGCAAGAGCAAAGTGATGTGCTTCTTCCTTTCCTTATAAAGCCCCTGGTACCACTCCCATGATAACCCATTTATCCATTAATCCATGAATGGATTAATCCATTCATGAGCACATAGGCATCATGGTCCAATCACCTCGTAAAGGCCCAATCTTTCAAATACTATATTGGGGATTAAGCTTCAACATGAGCTTGGGGGGACGTTCAAACAATTGCACATACTTATCCCCAAGGTACTTTTTTTTTTTTTTTCTTTTTCGTGACCGGTAAGGGGCGCTCAGCCAGTGAGCGCACCGGCCGGTCCCATACAGGATCCGAACCCGCGGCAGGAGCGCTGCTGCACTCCCAGCGCTGCACTCTCCCGAGTGTGCCACGGGGCTGGCCCCCCCAAGGCATTTTTTAAAAATACTGTTGGTTTCTTTTTTCAGTGTAAAAAGCAGAGTCTTTTCCATAACTGTTTAAAATCGATGGTGTAGGGCCAGCCCGGTGGCGCACTGCTACAGTGCGCCGCTTGGGAAGCGCAGCGGCGCTCCCGCCAAGGGTTCAGATCCCACATACAGACCGGCCGCTCACTGGCTGAGCGAGGTGCGGGAGCAACACCGAGGGTTGCGATCCCGTAGCCGGTCCCGGTCCGGTACGGGCGCGACACTGAGGGTTGCGATCCGTTGCCGGTCACGACAAAAAGGAAAAAAAAAAAAAATCGATGGTGTAAGTTTTAAAGTGGGGAATTACATTAATTACAATTATTCTCCTTAACTTAAACTTTTTGTATGATTAAATTCTGTCTGGTTTGTTCTTATCTGTAGATGGAGTACTGTGAAAAGAGCACTTTACGTGACACGATTGACCAAGGACTGTATCGAGACACCGTCAGACTCTGGAGGCTTTTTCGAGAGATTCTGGATGGATTAGCTTATATCCATGAGAAAGTAAACTTTACAGTATTTTGTTTCTGAAAACATGTGTTTACATATGTCTGAATAAAAAAAGTGTGAGAATGGAGAAAAACTGAAATAGAGGGAAAACTACAAGTTAATTGAGATAATCTTTGTGTAGGAAACAGAACAAAGTGTCAAAAGACAAGAAAATAGTACAACATATCAAGGTTCAAAGAAAACATTGAAGGTTAGGACAGGGATTAGCAAACTGGGGGCCCATGGGTCAAATCCAACCCACCACCTCTTTTTGTATGGCCTGTGAGCTAAGAATGTTTTTTACATTTTTAAGTGGTGGTAACAAATCAAAAGAAGAAGAATATTTAATGACACATGAAAATTATATGAAATTCAAATTTTAGTGTTCATCAGTAAAGTTTTACTGGAACATAGCTGTGCCTATTTGTTTTGTATTGCCTATGGCTGTTTTTGCCATAACAGCAAATTTGAGTAGTTTCATCAGAGGCTATATAGCCTGTAAAGCCTAAAATATTTACTATCTGGTCCTTTACAGAAAATGTTTGCCTGCCTCTGGGTGAGGAGGAAGTATTTGAACACGTGTGGAGTGTGAGGGTGGGTCCTGGAGTGGTTCAGAATAAAGTGAGAGTATGATTAATATATGTCAAGTTATTTGATTCTAACTGAATTTGTGCTGACCTTCCTAGGAACATGGAGAAGCCAGAAAGTCATCTAGCAAGGAGAGAAACGAGACTCTCTGAGTTACATAGCTTATCACATGTATAAAATGTCATTTTATGGCTAGAAATTGTCATTACAATATAAATACTAATGGGCCTAGCTTCATGATGAAACACTGCTTACATTTTTAAAATGGGATTATTTAATGCATTAGCCAGTATAAATATATTAGTTTATTCTTTTGCCTCAATTTTCTTTAACCTTAAAATGTTTATATCGTGCCATATTTATACTGAGAAACCAGGGTTGTAAATTATGCATGTCTAGTTTATAAATGATTGGGAAGAAACAGGATTTGCAAGGCTGGGAATAAAAATGAGTTCTAATGAGAGTTCATTAGAACTCTGTTACTGTGATATCATCCTGGGGTCCTAGAACCATGTCCATGTGCTATCTTCCTTTCAATCTAATTTGCTCAGTATTTGCTAACCATTTGCTGGGCACCTAATACTGCCACACCCAGAAGTACAGAGAGGCACAAGTATGTGAAAAACCCCATGCTTGAGAGGCTGATTTTGGAAGGAGACAGAATTTATCTTAATGTAATGGTAAAAGAGATCATGCAATAAAGTCTTATTATTGTGTTTAATTATTTTCTGTAGTATTATAATAAATGAAACAAGCATTATGAGTGATTAGGAAGAAGAGGAAGCAGGGTTCATGTGACAGATAACTGTTGATCACCTGCTCTGTGTGCTGGGATGCAGAGCTGAATTGTTAGAACTTCTGCAGAGGCTCACAAATGAGTTGGCACTTGTACATACTGGTCCAATTTGAATGAGTAGAGAAAAGCAAGAATGTCCTAGCTGGGGGAAACAGTACAAAAAAATGAATAGAAGGAGGAGTGAAAATGGTGTGTCTCCTTGACCAGATCAGGGCTTTTGTGAGGCACAGAGGAAAAGGAGACTTGGTGAGCCAGTGGAGGGGGCTTGGATGCCACAGGGAACCATTTAGATTTCACCTGATCGGGACCACCACCAGGAAGAACTGGGAGGCAAAACAGAGGTCATAGGACAGTCAGGAGACATTGCAGAGGCCAGACAGCCTGGACTAGGGTGGACTGTGGGAGAAGACCTCATCTGGGCCAGCCCCGTGGCTCACGCTGGAGAGTGTGGATCTGGTAGCTCCGAGGCTGCGGGTTTGGATCCTATATAGGGTTGGCCGGTGCGCTCACTGTGCCGAGGGTTGTGATCCCCTTACTGGTCAGGAAAAAAAAAAAAAGAAGACCTCATTTGATTTTCATCTCTAGGTTGACCTTTCAAATTAGGAAATAGTATAACTCTTAACTGTGCATGGGAAACAATTGTTGGTTTCTTCTCCCTCTTCCAACAGGGAATGATTCACCGAGACTTGAAGCCTGTCAACATTTTTTTGGATTCTGATGACCATGTGAAAATAGGTGATTTTGGTTTGGCGACAGACCACCTAGCATTTGCTGTGAGTATTTTTTAAGTTAGACTGTACTCAGAATGGACCCAGATGCCTCAGTAATCCTGAAAATGTTAGAAGACAGGATAGCGAGTTCACCATGCTGTGCTGTGTAATCCTCAGGAAATTAGGCAAGTGTGCAGGGGCATGCCGCAAATGGTATTTAGGCTTAGAAATCGTGGATACATTTTAGTGAGTGCATTCCACTTGAGGGGCATAAAATTATTGGTTTGTGGACAAGAAAGGCATACATTACTTTACAAAATAACATGTTTTGGTCTACCATTCCAGGCACTGGGCTAGATGCTTTACATTTGAGGGACTTTCAGTTAGTTTGGGGAAATGAGTCTCAAAAAAAGAAACACCAAAAACCTACCAGGAGAGCCTGTCCTAGACAATATGTAATTCAGAAGGCAATTGTACTTCTCAACATTGCAGAATAGTTGTTTACCATGCAAGGCTAAGTAATGTGAAGTGAGATAAATAGTGATATAAAAGACTGGGGAAATTTTACACTGTATAATAAAAAGGCTGTATAAAGACAATGGCATTTCAGATGGACCTTAAAGGATGGGTGGGAGTCTAACAGGCCAAGGTGGAGGCAGGGCATGGTGACACCAGGACAGGGGATTCCAGAGAAAAGGATCAGCATATGCAGAGGACTTAGGGTGAGCAGATGTGGTTGTTTGAATACCAGCATGTTATGTGGTTGGCTGAAACTGAGGTGTAGGGGGGAGAGAGAGAAGATGCTGTAAGTTTGGGCAGTCTTGTAGGTTGCAGGCCTTGAGTTCCAGGGGAAGAGTTTTACTTAACATCATAGGCAAAAGTTATTAGGCACTAAGATAAGTGCTGTAAATTCCAAGGGTAGTCAAAGAAGGAAAATTGGATTTGGATTAATGGTGAGAACCATAGGGACTAAGTTAGAAGGTGAAGGTTGGGAGGAGTAGAGAAGGGGGAGGTGGAAGAGGAACAGTAAGGACGTGGTCCTGACCAGAACAGTGGGGTTGTTGAAGAGTATGCTGAGACTAAGGAAGGCCAGATGATGGGGTTTTTGATCCCCAAACTAAAGAATTTAATTTGATGTCTGGAAGGCTGTTGTATAGGGAGGTAGATAAGAACACAGGCTCTGGAGTCTCACTGACCGGGACCAGAATCCTATCTCTACCACTTCTTTGTGTCATGACCTTGGGCAAATTAGTTAACCTCTTAATTTACCCCATCTGTAAAATGTGCCTAATACTAGTACCTACCTCAAAGAGCTATCAGCAGAATAAAATAAGAATGCAGGTAAAGTACCTGGAACGGTGTCTGGCACTAAGAATATTGAAGCTGCTATAATCAGTGGTGGTGCTTGCAGTAGGAACCTGTGGAGTGATGTTGTAAGAACAGTGATTTAGGATATTGCATGCAACAGCGCTGTTACAGGTAATGGAGGAAGGTGAAGTTGCCTAGGAGGTGTTAGTGGGACAGATTTAGTGACCAGCATCTAGGAAAGAAGAGTAAAAATTGACCCAGACAGAGTAACAGCAATGGGAAAATTAGAAAGATGGATTTGTTGTTATTGCTTCTAATGTACTCTTACTCTTCCTAGTGAGTAGATTCTGTTTTGGCATTTGCAATATTAAAACAAATTGGTTTCTTAAGCTTTGGGGCATTTCTGTCCTGAAGACAGAGTTGTATAGTGAATTGCACTTCCTCCTCTTGATTTCATTGGGTTGCCTTTGAGCCTTGCGTTACTGAGTTAACTAAACAAGTTTTTAATTTCAAAAAAAAGCATTATTATAATTATTCTGATCTCCATGTGACATTTTTTCAGTCTTGATTTAGAAATGTACAAGACATTCCTATGGAATAATATAACATTTTAATTTGATATTTGACCTTTTTTTTAGGCTGACAGCAAACAAGATGATCAGGCAGATCACTTGATTAAATCAGACTCTTCAGGTAAATCCAGAAGACTGTATATTTCGTTTATGTATTAAAAAGCAGACCACATTTCTTAACCTGAAACCTGCTTTTCACTTGTCAAGATTTTATTCTAGAGCAAGTTTTAGTTATTCATTAAATTAACCAAATTATTTAAATGCGCTTTTTCCCCTCTTTCAACTGTATTGTTCTTCTGAAAATAGAGCTTCAGTGGGTAGAATAATTGGCTCTCATGGGTAGACAGCTGCACTTTGTCTAACCCCCGATGGTAATGTGAGGTTACCTCATGACCTGGTCCATTGGGGGTCTTATCTGGCACTGCCTTTCCTCTGCAACAGCAAAGACATTCTCATGTAGGACAGAGTGTGTGGCCATACGTGACTTATGGTTAATCATTTGGTGAAATGCTTGGTGCTTCTTTCTATGAGTAGTATGGACAGTTAACAGATCATGCCTCACTTTTAAATCTCTTTTTTTTTTTTTTAATTGGCCTTACGTATAAGTCCTATTATTGGAAAGCTTTCCCTCTGTTTTTCTCCACACAGGTCATCTGACTGGGATGGTTGGTACTGCTCTGTATGTAAGCCCAGAGGTCCAAGGAAGCACCAAATCTGCATATAACCAGGTACAGGATTTTTGGGGGGAAAGGAAAGGTCTCAAGAGTGAGGTAATAGTAAAAACATCAAGATCACAGCCTTTGGGGTTTAGTTACCAGCTGAAATAGTCAGGAACATTCACTCATTCATACTCCAGGCAGGACATGTGATGCCCAAAGCCAGTGACTAAAACTGGTTTTGTTGCTACTGGGAGTTTACAGTCCATCCATCTGTCCAGCCACCCAACAAATATATGAACTAACCCCTGCCCTGGGCAAGGTCTTAGAAACACAGGGAACAAGGCAGTCAAGTGAATAAGGCAGATGTGGCCCTAGCCCTCAGGGAGCTTATCCAGTGATGGATGAAACAGATGATAAACAAGTAAAAAATAAAAGAAACAATCACAAATTGTTTTAAGGACTAAGAAGAAAAGAAATGGAGTCAAGTGACAAGAGAGCAGTCTTCTTTAGATAGACTGACCAGAGAAGGTCTCCTGACAGGGTGACATTTAGGATAAAGGATGAGAGGGGACAAGCCACACATAGTTGGGGGCTGGAGCATGCCTGGGAGGGAAAAGTGGTGGAGCAGAGGAAACAGCATGCATAAAGAGAAGCCCCTGGGTGAGAGATAGTTTGGCACATTTAAGACAGAAAGATGGTTATTGTGACTCTGTGTAGTGAGCAACAGTGGGAGACAGGCACACAGTGAAGCTGGAGAAGAGGGCAGTCAGATCATGTGGGGCTGGGTTAGCTGCAATAAGGAATGTGGATTTTATTTGAAGTGCACAGGGAGCCACTGAAGAATGTCGAGCAAGAGAGTTCACTCTAGCTGCTGTCAGGAGGCTTTGCAGAAGTCCAGGTGGAGTGACTGGTAGCTGGAACTGGAGTGGTGGCAGCCGAGATGGAGAGAAGTGTGCAGGATACAGGAGGGGAAGTAAGATTTCCCTAATGGAGTGGCTGTTGGGTGAGGAAAAGGAAGGACAGAAGTACAGGGCTAGGTTTCTGCCTGGAGCCCCCCGGTGAAGGGTAGTTGACTGAGGTGTGGAAACCTGGAGAAAGGCAGAGGGGAAGGAGAAGATGGCAGGACTTCAGTTTGAAGCATATTAGTTTGAAATGCCTGATGAGAAATACAATTAGAGATGTCCAGTGGGTTGTTATTGTTAAAAGACCCAAGATTTGAGACCAGAGGAATGGTCAGAGGTACAAATTTGAGAGTCATCAGCACACAGGTGGGATTTAAAGCCACGAGACTGAATGAGATCACTTAGGGCAAGAGGGTAGAGCTAAATTTTAAAAATATATCAGGCAGGCAATTTGCATCAAAGCAGATCCTCAGGCTTGCAGCAGAAACTCAGCCTGGGTTTTGGTTCTGACAGGGAGTATTGAACAGTGACAGAATTGAAACAGACCTGATGAGGGTGCAGGGAGATGTGTTGCCATGGTGTGTGGGAGGGTACCTTATTGTCATCTTTTTGAGGTCAGTTGGGAGGAGTGTCATGAAATCCTTAAAAGTGCTTTCCCCTTTGGGCCAGTTCCACCTTTAGAAATTTATCCAAAGGAAATAACCAGGGATATCCAAAAAGATTGAAATAAAAGGGGTTCATCACAGCATTATTTATAACAATGAAAAATAACAGAGTCTAAAAATGGGGAACTGATTAAATAAATTTTTGTCCATTCAGTATGATATCAGTGGGATTGTTGTATATGGCCTTTATTGTGTTGTAGTACATTCCTTTTATACCTAATTTATTGAGTGTTTTTATCATGAGGTGATGTTGGATTTTGTCAAATTCTTTTTCTGCATCTACTGAAATGATCATGTTTTTTTTTCTTCATTCTGTTGATGTGATATATGATGTTTATTGATTTGCATATGTTGAACTATCCATGCATCCCTGAGGTGAATCCCACTTAAACATGGTGAATGATCTCTTTAATGTGTTGGATTCTGTTTGCTAGTATTTTGTTAAGGATCTTTGCATCTGTGTTCTCTTATGATTCTTTGTATTTCTATGGAAGGGATATTGGTCTGTAGTTTCTTTTTAGTTGTGTCTTTTTCTGGTTTTGGTATAAGGAGTTTGGAAGTATTCCCTCTTCTTCAATTTTTTGGAAGAGTTTGAGAAGAATTGGTATTAGTTCTTCTTCGAATGTTTGGTAGAATTTGGCAGTAAAGCCACCTAGTCCTGGGTGGGGTTTTTTTGATGGGAGACTTTTTATTATTGCTTCAATCTTATTACTCATTATTGGATTGTTTGGGTTTTCTAGTTCTTCATGATTCCACCTTAGTAAGGTATATGTGTCCAGGAATTTATCCATTTCTTCTTGGTTTTCCAGTTTGTTCGCATGTAGTTGTTCATAGCAGTCTCTAATGATTCTTTGTATGTCTGTGGTATCAGTTGTAATGTCTCCTTTTTCATTTCTTATTTTATTTGAGTCTTCTCTCTTTTTTTCCTTTGTTAGTTTTCCTTTGTTAGTTTTGTCTTTTCAAAAAACCGACTCTTTGTTTCATTGACCTTTTGTAGTTTTTTAAAATCTCTAATTCATTTATTTGTGCTCTGATCTTTGTTATTTCTCTCCTACTGATTTGGGGTTTGGTTTTTCTTATTTTTCTAGTTCTTTGAGGTGTAATGTGAGGTTGCTTATTTGAAGTCTTTTTTCTTTTTTGATTTAGGCATTTATTGCTATAAACTTCCCTCTTAGAACTTCTTTTGCTGTATTTTGTAGGTTCTGGTATGTTGTGTTTTCATTTTCATTTGTCTCCAGGAATTTTTAAATTTCCTTTTTGATTTCTTCTTTGACCCATTCATTGTTTAGAAGAATGTTGTTTAATTTCCTTGTATTTGTATGGTTTCTAGTGTCCCTTTGTTGTTGATTTCTAGTTATATTTCACTGTGGTTGGACAAGGTAGTTGATATGATTTCTTTTTTTTTTTTTAATTTGTTGAGACTTGTTTTGTGACCTAACATATGGTCTATTCTAGAGAATGTTCCATGAGCTGCTGTGAAGAATGTATATTCTGAAGCCATTGGATGAAATATTCTATGTATCAGTTAGGTCCTATCAGCCTAGAGTAGAAATTAATTCTGATGTTTCCTGGTTAATTTTCTGTCTGGATGATCTGTCCTTTGATGAAAGTGGGGCGTTAACATCCTTAACTATTACTGTGTTGGAGTCCAGTTCCCCTGTTATCTCTAATAGTAATTGCTTTATATAATTGGGTGCTCTGGAGTTGGCTGCATATATATTTAGAATTGTTACATCTTGTTGGATTGATCCCTTTATCATTATGTAATGGTCTTTCTTATCTTTTTTTTACTATCCTTGGCTTAAAGTCTATTTTATCTGATTTTTTGGTTTCCATTTTCATAAATATCATTTTTCATCCCTTCACTTTCAGACAATGTGTGTCTTTATAGGTGAAGTGATTTTCTTGTAGGCAGCATATTAATGGTTCTTGTTTTATAATCCATCCACTCTGTGTTTTTTAATTGGGGCATTTAATTCATTTACGTTTAGAGTCATTATTGACATATAAAGACTTGTTACTGCCATTTCGTTACTTTTTTTCTTGTTGTTTTGTTGATCTTTTTTTCCTTTTTTTTCCAATCTTAGTGTCTTCCTTTGTGGTTGAATAGTTTTCTCTAGCAGTGTATGGTTGCCATGAGGCTTACAAAAAACCTGTTATAGTTATAACAGATTATTTTAGATTAATAACAACTTTGATATCTAATGAAAAAGAAAAAATCAAAACCAATTCTACATTTTATTGTCACCCCCCCCCCTTTTTGACATTTTATTGTTTCAAGTTACATCTTTTAAGATTGCCCATCATTTGTATGGGTTGTTGTATATATTATTGTCTTGTTAAGTTTGTCTTTTAATCTTCATACTAAGGATGTAAGCAGTTTATTCACTACCCTTACAACATTGAAGTATTCTGAGGATGTCTGTGAACTTATTTACTAATGAGTTATGTACCTACAAGTGTTTTCTTGCTGCTCCTTAGTGTCCCTTCTTTCAGATTGAAGAGCTCTCTTTAGCATTTCTTGTAAAGCAGGTCTAGTGTTGATAAATTCCCTTAGCTTTTGATTGTCTGGGAAAGACTTTATTTTTCCTTTGTATTTGAAGGTTAGTTTTGCTGGATACAGAATTCTTGGCTGATGGTCTTTTTCCTTCAGCACTCTGAATTTATCATCCCATTCTCTTCTGGCCTGTAAGGTTTCTACTGAGAAATCCTCTGAGAGATGTATTGGGGCTCCATTGAATGTTATGTTTCTTTTCTCTTGCTGCTTTCACTATTCTTTCTTTGTCTTCTGTTTTTGATAATTTGATTGTGATGTGTCTTGGGGTGTTCCTCCTTGGATTGAGTTTGATTGGCAACCTCTGAGCTTCCTGTACCTGCATGCTGTCATCTTTCTTCACACTTGGGAAAATTTCAGCCATTATTTTCTTGAATATGCTTTCTGCATCTCTTCCTTTTTTCTCTCCTTCAGGTATGCCAGTTATGTGGAGGTTATTTCACTTGCTGCTGT